GGAATCCATTGACGAGTTAAGCATAGCAACATGACTGGCAGCTGCTTTGCTGGGACAGCCACGCCTACTGGAAGGCACCTGCCAGAGCTCCCCAGGCCTATAGCCCCTTCTGAGGTCCCCCTCCCCACTCTGGACACCCCAGCACCTTCATCTCCCTCTGCCCACACAGTCCTGCTGTGGCTCTGTCCGCTGGCTGTCCCAGGGCTGTTCGTAGTAAGGGCGGGTCTCGGACAGTATTTAGCCATGTTACCTTCCTGGAGGACAGATCCCTCCTGCAGGCCCTGCACGGTTACTCAAGGTGCAGAACAGAGTGGAGTCTTCAGGGGCGCTGCTGCCATGCCCTTGTGGTCCCTCAAAGGCCTTGGAATGTTCTGCTGCCCACGGTAATGGGTTGGGTGTCGCCCCGGAGCCACTCACTGTGTTAGGGGTCTGGCTGCTTGCACGTCCTCGTCCGGGCGGCCCCCCACCCTCCCCCGCAGCTCCACTGCTCAGCTTTCACCCTGAAGTGGGCAGGAGGAGGGACTTGCTTGTGTTCTTCCCTCTTCTGCTCCAATTCCAGAGGGTCTTGTTGTGCGTGCGCTCATTTCTTTTCCCTCGGATTTTATGTCCATTATTTAAATCAGGCTTGAGGAAGTCATTTACTGGATCCCCTCAGGCTCTTGGTAGAGAGCACATGAGATCCTCGATAAGCTTAATATATTTATATTAAAAATTAATAAGAAAGCTACATTGTTTGCAACTTTAAATCATAATTTGATTTAATTCATTTTATTTAATATACAACCATAATTCTAAAATTACTTTAAAAAAAAAAAAAAAAGGCGTGTAATGAGATTGGAATCAGTCTGGGACCCTGTCGTTATTCCGGAGTGAACCGTGCCTGTCATGGGGCAGGCACTCTGTGCTGCCATTTCTCATGTGACATTTAGAGTCGGCGCACAGTGCCACGCCCCCTTGGAGGCTCCTGATGGGTCCTCTGTGGACGATTATGTGCAGCCTCTTTTTAAATGCTACCATTAAAAAAATAAAATTTAATGGAAAGAGATAAGCTTTTCCCAGCACAAGCCAGCTCCGATTTTGTACTTCCTTAATCTGTTTTATATACTGCTGCAGGAAATTAAACCACAATGATCTGCTCTGACATGTGCATGTGCGGCCACTGGGAGTGGCTGAGAGAAGGGAGACAGATTTACTGTAAACCTTTCTCTTGGGGGGGCGGGGGGGGTGGAATAAGCCCTCCTCGTTTTCCTTTAATGGCGAGCCAGCCTGGGCCTACGACCACATAAAGCTCTGTTCTTACATCACTGAGAACTGGTGTCCCACCGATGGCCAGGCCAGGTGGCATCCAGGCCAAGGACAGATGTCCTTCATCAGTAGGCCCGAGTTTCAGCTTACTCTATACTCAATGTGACGTATCATTGGCAGACACAGGAGACAGTCACTAACATATTGTGCACGTTACTAAATCCTCCTTCTTGCTTTCTTCTCGTCTTTCTCTCCTTTCTCCCACCCTGCCCATCACTCAGAGAAAACGACAGTATTTGTTAATCCTCTCTGCGTTTAGTTTAACGGAGCAGACAAATGACGGGGATATATTTCAGTCCTCCGCTCCAGCCCCACTCATTCCCTCCCTGCTTCTGGTCTTCGTATCTCAAGTCCTACGCGCACACATCCAGGGTTGTCTCCTGCCCCATCTTTGCTTCCGGAACCATATTCCCCACCAACTAAGAGCAGACAGAATACCTGCAGCAGCAGGTATTTACTAGGAAAGCCCAGTGGCCCCTCAGTGTGTCTCCGAAGTCGCATCTAGGACACCCTGCAACCCCTCCCCTCGGCCCCCCAGACCGTTTGCGGGTGGAGGCTGCACAGTGCGGTGACGGGATGAACACTGGGTGGAGTCCTGAGGGCCGGCTGCTCCCCCTGGGTCGGCCTCGCAGGGCAACAGGAGGACACTGGACCAGAAGGTCGTCACGGCCCCTCCGTGAGGCAGTGGGCTCGGAGGTGTGGAAGGGAAGCCTAGCGTCTCCTTCCGGGCTGTTCCAGCCCACAGTTCCAAATGGCTGCAGGGCTGAGCTACTCCTGCCGACGCCCAGGCTCTCATCCTGAGAGAGAGAAACGTGACTGGGAGGAAGACAGGAGCCTATAACATTTGAAGCGTGCAGATCAGCCTCACCTTGTCCAAGTGACATGAAGGTGACTGTTGCTTAGCCTCTGAGTCAAACCACTGAGAAGCACAGAGCATCCTCCAGGTGAGGAACCTGCGGAAGCAGAACCGGGGGGTGGAAAACAGCTACCTGGAGTTCTGAGGAACAAGGCGGGCCTTCCCTGCGTGGGCACCCGTGGGGGCGGTGGGGGGAGCCCTGCAGGGAGGGCCTGGCCTTTCTCTGGACCACCTGTGAGTGGGGCAGGGGGGGCGGTTATGGCTCCTTCTGCAAATAGCATTTCAGGCAGCACCTGGGGCGTGTTCATCTTCCTTTGCCAGACCACAGGTCCCTCTGGCCTCTTGTTGAGTGGAAGGGAGGAGAACATCTAAGACAACTTTCAAGTAGAGAATTTCCCACGAAGGAATTTGATCTCTCTTTTTTATCCTCACCCGAGGACGAACTTAATGATTGTAGAGAGAGGGGACGGGAAGGGGAGAGGGAGAGAAACTCCAATGTGAGAGGGAAACATCGATCGGTTGATTCTCGCATGCACCCCTGACTGGGGACCCAACCCATAACCTAGGCATGTGCCCTGGTTGGGGATTGAACCCATGGCCTTTCAGTTTGTGGATGATGCTCCAACCAGTTGAGCCACACTGGCCAGAGCTCTCTGATAGCTCTTTACAGTCCTGTGCTCATGCAGGTCTCCGCCTCAGACCTCAGATGTCCAGGTCGATGGGGGACCCTGGGCAAGTGCCCCAAGGGAGGGAGTGGGGAAAGAGTAACACAGAAGACATTTGCTCCCCAGCTGGCATCAGACATTTGTCTTTAGCCCAGAGGGACTGCACAGAGCTTGGCTGCCTGCAAAATGGGGCCTCTCCCAACTCTTCCGCTCCATTTCTGGCCACCGCCCCCCCGGCCCCCCCCTCCCCGCCCCGAATTCGCGCACAGATCCTGTACACCCGCAGGGCAGGCGCACTCAGCGGGCTCATTTCCCTGCTGCCCGGAGTCTCAGTCCCAGCCACCGCAGGATTTCCCAGGGGGGATTTTGGGGGGGGCTCGGGGGCAGGGCTGATGGGCCTGATCGTCATGATAGGATTGCAGGCTGATTCCATCGACAGAGAGAGCTCTTTTCCCGGCTGGGGGGCCAGGGCCTGAGGTGGCGGCCCTTCCTCTTTTTTCTCTCTTCTCTTCTCGCTTGTTCGCGCGTTCTCTCTCTCTCTCTCTCCCCCCTTCCCAGAGCTAAATCTAGATCCCCTCAGCCTGCCTGTTTTCCTTTATTCCAACCTAAATGGAACATTTTTAAAGAGGCCAAGGGGCTGCTAGTTTCTCCTCCGTCGCGCGGAGGGGGTCTGGCCACGTGACGGCCAGGGGACCCCCCCCCCCAAGCTTGAGAGCCTCTGTGGCCGTGAGAGGCGCACGCCCGGAATTCTGCCTCTCGGAAGGCATCTTCAGCGGATGCGGAGCCCGGGCAACAGCCGTGCGCTGGAAGGCCTACAGCAGTCGTTGGAAGACATCTTCCAGCAAAAGTTGGAAGACATGTAGATTTCCAGGAGTAGCTGAGTGATGGTCTGTAAACAAGATGCCATTAAGGGCGCACAGCCAATAAGATGATAATTAGGCTGGCTGTAAGTTAACATTGAATGATAAATGGTTGCTGCTGTTTGTCGGGAGCCTGCTCTGTCAGCTGTCTCAGCCCTGTGGGCAGGCTCGGGATCAGGAGTCAGGTCTGGGCACTGGTGTCTCTTGGGAAACTCCCCGGTTGGTACTGCCACGCAGCCAGGTACTTCTTGGGGGCCTAACAGCCACCAGGGTGAGGCCTTCGCGTGTCTCCTGAGGGCATGTTCATGCAGAATACAATGGATCTGGTGTCCCTCCCTTCCCCTTGGCCCTCCTATTCGGTTGGCGCAGGATAATACTGTTTGTCTCTAGTTTACTTATTGCAGAAACAGTTTTGAGGGTATCCTGGTTCTTTGGTGCTTCCTAACAGACCATCCCAGCGCTGAGCAGAGTGCAGCCAGCACCATTTGCACTCACTGGTTATCTGGGCCCGGGATTTGAGGGTTGCAGCGGGCAGGCTGGAATCTGGCCCTCTCCTGACCGCCAGCTGGGGTCATCTGCAGGCTCCTTTGTGCACACTCCTGGTGCCTGGGCGAGGCTGACTTGTCAGATGGGCTCCGCTAGGACAGCCAACCAGACACCGACACGCGGCCTGCCCGTGTGGCGTGGGCGTCCTCCCAGCATGGCCGCTCGTGGCTCCAGGCGGGAAGGCTGCATGGCCCTTTCGACCTTGCCTTGGCATTCATTGGCGTCACTTCCATTGCACTCTGTTACTGAAGTGGTTACAAGCCCACCCAGATTTCAGAAGGATTTTGCAGGTAGAATTGACAGGAGATTGAGTGATGGACCGAACACAGAGAGTCAAGGACGGGATTGTTAAAATACCCATGCTACGCATCATATGATATAAAAAGAATACAAGAAGTTATGTGCGCGTCGTTAGCGCAGTGCACATAGATGAGAATTCAATGAAGCATGCAAAAATGAAAATTTATTTTTGGCGGTAGGAGCACGGCATTTATCTTTAATATTACTTCTTAACCTCTGTAGCTGCTCACCAAACCTGGGCACTGACACATCTCCGAAGGTCGCTGTTGGCCAGCAGGCCCCAGCGTGACTCGGTTAGCGAGTCTGCTTTCCAAACGCCACGGTACGGCAGTCACCCTGCTCACACTGCATGTTCTGGCTTGGAGAGCCTCAGAGCCGCTCACACCGTGGGCCTGGGGGACGAGATGAAGGGCGGGCAGGGGTGCGCCCGCTTCGGGACCTAATCTGTCCTTTTTCTTTTCCCTGTAGGCATTTGATATTATGAGGGTGACACACGGCAGGGAGCACAAACTGATTGAAGACTTGATTCTGCTCTTAGAAGAATGCGATGCCAACATCAGAGCCTCCTAAGGCGCCCGTCGGTGGAAGGACGGCTCGTGCCCTGACTGAATGCCTTGCTGCGGCCACGCACCCTGTACCTTGTATGCTGTGTGACCCTCCCCGTTGGAAATGCTACTCTGTGTTTATGTAGGTACATAAGGCCGACATACAGTTTGCAAACCCCAAGAACCATTTATTGTAGAGAAGCACGATTATAATAAATATAAAAAGTTTGGTCGACAATGCCATCTGGTAATCGTTTTCTTTGCTCACGCATTGGTAATTGCAGCATTTAAAATCTCAACATTAAAGATGGGAAATCATATTGCAAACTTGACAGAATAAGTATTCACATTCTCCTTCAATATATGTAGGAATAATTATGTAAAAAAAAAGTGTTTTCACATTTGTTTCCCTCTAGGCTTTGTCCATTTGGTCAAGAAGCAGGATTTTCAGATGTTGTCTTCACTGTTTGTGTTAAATGATGTCTGTGTTCATTATTCATTTCCAAATACATCTCCAACCCAGGAAGTTTGATCCTGAATCCTAGCAAGGAGTTGTTTTAGTTGTTATTAGAAAAGGTCATAGGAAGTCTTAATGGAAAAGAAAAAATGTTATTTTCAAATGTCTCATGGCCCTTTTGTAACTCTCTTATTCTCAGCATTTCATAAGCCCTTGTGGATGTCATGCTGCTTTTGTTCTTGAATTTTTTCCCTCTAACTCCCTAGGTCTGGTTTGGCCGCGTGCTGTGCTTAGCCCGGAGCCCTGCTCTCCTGCGGGAAGCAGATTCTAGCAGTCCAGCTCAAGTCAGGCTTGCTTTCTTTCCTTTTCCCTCTCTGCTGTTCCTTAATGCTATGGTCTGCTTTTCCACCTTTTTGCTGTAGACAAATCCAGAAAACCTTTTCTTCTCCACCAGAAAAAAAAAAAAAGGTAAATTCTTTTCTGGCTCAGTGATCGCGTGACCTCCCGCTCAGAGGAGGCTCTGGTAGTGACTGAAGGCCTTGGATTCCTGCAGTGGAAAGATTCTTCGAGAGCCTCCCGCCATCCACGCCTTACTGTACATGTAAGGAAAGGCGATACGGGGGCTGATGGCAGAATCCCGAGCGGCTATCCTGGGTCCCCCCAACCCTCACAGGGGGCATGGCAAGTCCTCCAGCCCCGTGGCTTCACTGGCAGCCTACGCTGTCAGAATGACACATGGACGTCTGGTCAGCCAGAAGGAGCCAGCCTCGTCCTGCAGCCGAGAAAGCTGACAACTGGAAACTACAGTCTCCTTGCTGAGCACTGGGTGGTGACCTGGATCACTGAGACACGCTCGGTCTCCCGCATGCAGATGAGTCCCGCAGCCTCTTCCTGACCTTGCTGCTTCTGCTCCAGCCGCCGGCTGTCAAGTAACAAGCCCGTCTTTAAGGCACACAGTATCCCTGATAACCACAGCACCGCAGCAAGGTAGGTAGTTAGAAGCCCGTTATAGAAGTAAGAAAATAAGCCTGGAGCCAGCTCTGCGATCCTCCTGATTTACTAAGTGACCTTGACAATGTGGCTTACTCTCAGCCTTTTTTGAGAGACCAGTTCTACCCAAATGTACAAATATATTTTGAGTGGTTACTGTGTTTTTAGGAAAAAGGGAAGCAAAGACTGAGTAAGACCAGCCCCTCGTCCTTAAAATGCATACCGTCTGGTGTAGTATTTGTATCAGAAGCTTTTAATGCATCACAAACTGCGCCAACATAACAGGAGTGGATTTTATGCGTGATTCGGCACATCGGCCGCTGGGGCGGGAGCGCTCTGCTGTGGCCCAGGCGCCACGGGGCCGTGCCTTCACAGAATCCCACCGCAGGAGCGTGGGCGTGCGGCAGAGACTGGGGCCACCCACGCCGTTCGCCATAGCAGCCCTTACGCTATTTCGGTGTCCTGGGGCATTGAGTGAATTTGATGAAATCCTTAGTCTGTTCCACGTTCCCATGTCCCTGGTTCCATTTTCCTCGTAAGTTTATTTTGTTCATTAGATTCCTCTTATAAGTGAAATCATATGGTATTTGTCTTTCACCGCCTGGCTTATTTCACTTAGCGTAAGAGTCTCCAGTTCTAATCACGCTGCTGCAAAAGGTAGGAGTTCCTTCTTTCTTTCTGCTGCGTAGCAGTCCATTGTGTAAATGTACCACAGTTTTTTGATCCACTCATTTACTGATGGGCACCTAGGCTGTTTTCAGCATTTAGCTATTGTAATAATGCTGCTGTGAACATTGGGGTGCATGGGTTCTTTTGAATTGGTGTTTCAGGATTTTTAGAGTATATTCCCAGCAGTGAGATCACTGGGTCAAAAGGCAGTTCCATTTTTAGTTTTTCTGAGGAAATTTCATACTGTTTTCCACAGTGGCTGCACCAGTCTGCATTCCCACCAACAGCGTACCAGGGTTCCCTTTTTTCCACATCCTCGCCAGCACTTGTTGTTTGTTGATTTGTTAATGATGGTCATTCTGATGGGTGTGAAGTGGTATCTCTTTAATTTGCATCTCGCTGATGGTTCAATGACCTTGAGCATTGTTTCATATGTCTGTGGACTGTCTGTATGTCCTTCTCGGAGAAGTGTCTACTTTTCAATTGGATTGTTTGTCTTCCTGCTGTTGAGTCCTATGAGTTCGTGGTTCCTCACTGAAAATTCATTAGGAAACACCATAACAGAAGGCGGGGGCCGTCTTACATGCCAAAGGAGCAGAGTTCACTGAGACAACCCTGCGTTTGCCAATTTTCTGAATGAAATTTATCAGTCAGTGATGATCCTGGATTAAGGGATTTGCCTTCCTGCCTCCTCGAGAAAGCATGATAGGCTTTTAATCCCTCTCAGCCGGCTTCCCGGTTTCTGAGGCAAGGGCCCTCCTGAGGAAGGGCCTTCGTGCATCAGCTGTTCATAGGAAGCGAACATGGAAGCAGTGGTAAACATTTACTGAGCGACGTTCTGGCGCAGTCATTTCGGAGGAGAGGGAAGGGAATGGAGGGCCTAATTTCAAATGCCTGTCACCAGCGGCCGACGATTTATTGCCGCCCCGGCCTCCGTGGCTGCCGTTTCATTAATCCAGAGCCATCGTAGCATGGGCTTTGTTCACATCAGTAACTCGACGCCATCAGTGGCCCATCTGGGATGAGGATGCATCTAAACTGAAAATGAACATGCCAGGCATCATTCATAGCCATACTACACGACTGCTAACGTGTGGGCCGGGAGGAAGGCTGCCGGGGAGCCTGCTCCCGCGGCGGAGAGGGCGGCCAGACCCCGTGGGGGCCGGCACCCAGCCACGCCCGGAGACCCCGCGGTCCAGCTTCACTGCAGGGAGACTGAAGGAGAAGCCCCTTAGGTCGGAGCCTGCTCCTGAGTCACGTCCTGAAAATCTCCCCTGCCCCATCAGGAAGTGGCATTACCCTCCCTCAGAGCAGGCCCTTGGGATTCCACAAGGAGGAGGTTCTAGAGTTGTCTGGGGGGCACCACAAAATCCTATGGTGCAGGATCATGGGTAGGAGCTCCGGGAAGACAATGGAGCCCTCCTTTTGCCTGAGGCCTGTAAGAGCTCAAGGTGGTTGGGGTGGAGCTGCAACACCACCCCAGGTGGAGATGACCCCTCGCCTTCATGAGATTGGGAGGCATTGGTGCTATTGGCTCGCAGCCGATCCCGTTCCAGACCAGGGCGCGGTCCTTCGTGGGGCACATGCCTGTCCCTCCACGCTGCTCTGCAGCCCAGAAACACAGCCACTGGCTCTCCCTGTCTCCTCGGTCAAAGGGGCGAGCTCCGGCTGTTCATCCTCTGAAGTGCTTTTAAAACGCCAGCCGTTCCATTCCTTATCCAACCCCAGGCCCGTGGCAGGCCCCCAGCTGCTGCGGAGACCCACCCCCCTTGCCCGCCCTTCATCAGAGCCGCCCGTCCTGTCCCCAGAATACCTAGGCCGTCATTTCCTCGTGCATCTCCCTGCTCAGCAGCTCACAGTGGCTCCCCCATTGCTGTCACTCAAAGCTCACCCTTCAGACTGGCGCTGGTCTGAACGACCAAATCTTGCGCTCAGCGGATCCCACGAGGCTTCCACCCCGGCTGGACCAACCCCTTGCCCCCCGGTCTCCTGATCCATGCCTCCTCTGTCAGCTCCTTGTTTTGTCCATGAGGACTGAATTCCCTTCTCCATCTGGCTAAATCACAGCCATCCATTCTCGAAGGTCTAGCTCAAGCCTCTTTCTCTTCTGTTTTCTTTAAAAACATTCAAATATGTTACAGCTGTAACCATAATTCTGCTTCTTGACATTCAAGTGGTATCAGCTTTGGCTGCTGGGCTCTTTTTCCAGTTGGAGCCTGTGTCCTGTGGGCACTTACTGTTTTGGAAATGCTTTTTCACTCGGGGGCACCTTGTACCTAGAAGGGCCGTTGTCAAGGGTCCCTGCCGTCAGTACGTCTGCTTGTTGCCGCTGGGCTGCCATTGCTCCCTAGGCCTTTTTAAAATCATGAGTTCACACGGATGCCCCCAATTAAAATGCAGCGCCCACATTGTTCATCTTCCTCCTGCCATACTAGGACTTTCCCCGGACACGTGCAACGGTTGTGATGTTGCTACTGCGACCACTGCCCACAGCCAGCCCACTCAGTAAAGCTTAAGATTCTGTTCCAGCGCTTTCTGTTCTCAGGCTAAAAAGGTGGTGGTGTCAGAACAACAGTTACTCGTAGGGTTCTTTTCTCTGTGATTACACGGAACCCATTTAATATCCAATTGCGTTTGTTTCTATTGTATTCAAATTTAGAGTTTGCCCCATGATTGATTTATGCTGCTAAACAATTATGAATATAAGTTTTGCAACTGCAAATAATGGCATTATGCATATGTCTTTTTGAGTTGTTTGTTTGGTGTCGCTGGAGATGCAGCGGCCGGGTAATTCCCTAGAAGTGGGCTGGCGGAGTCAAAGTGTAGACGCTTATGTGGTTTACTGGGTGTTGTCTCATTTTCCTTAACGGGGGCTGCGTAATGGAGCCTCCTCTTTCCACACAGCCTTGCCAACGGAGTGGGTTGTTCAGCTTCTGGATTTGTTGCCAAGCTGATCGATGAGACACAGTATCTCAAGTGTAGTTTAAATTTGCATTTTTCTTATTAGCAAAGTTGGGTGTCTTCAAATATTTAAAAGCCTTTTGTCTATCTTTTGTGAACTATATTTACATGTTATTTGTCCATTTTTCTCTCAGGTTTTTTAGGT